GACACAAGATGAAGACACAAGATGAAGACATGAGCTGGAGACACGAGTTGGAGACACGAGCTGGAGACCTGCTGACCCCAGCACAGAGTTCATTGCTCGTGATAAAGGTTTAGTGTTTGGGTCGTGTTAGTCTGCAGCACAACATTTTGTGTTAGCTCTTTCTTCATCACGACCAACCGGAGCAACACCCTCAACCTTCAGAACATCCAGCTTTAATATTAAGCAGTTTGAGACAACACAAATTGAATAAAAACCAGATTTAATGTAAACACAAATATTTTGGACAATAAGAACTGGATGTGAATCAAACGAGCAGCAGCTGCGTTCATCTGAGCGTCCACGTCTCCTGAACTTCAACCAGTAAAGGTTCATGTTTTAATCCAACATGTGAGAACGTCACCGTGGCTGGAAGAAACTGTCAAATGTAACTAGAGACATTCAGTTAAATGCTACAACAGCCTGCCATAAAGCAGCTTGTACTGCAAAGACTCAGTTATTTTACTGATAATCTAACCAAAGACTTTCTGCTGTGTGATGCTGCCCTCAGGTGGTCCTGATCCGAACCGGACCTTGGAGGTTCTGGTGGACACTCAGTGAGAACTCTCCTAAGCTGTGAATTTTTTTTTCTGTCAGAATTCAGAACTCTGAAGAAATACTTGAAGAACCGCTTCAGCCGCTCTCTGACTGAGATGAACAGTTACCACGGTAACCGCAGTCTGGTGGGCGGAGTCGGCCAGGGTCGGCCAATGAGCGACGAGCCTGAGGACGAGTTCAGCGGGATGGGAGGAGCTTCTCCGTCGAGCTCCGTCAAAGTAACTCACAGGTCAGAGATGATCCAGGTCGCCCACAGATGGGCGATCATGTAGTCGCCTCATCACATGCCTCTGGTTCTGGTCCCAGTAAAAACATGGCGTTTCCCTGCAGATGCTCCATCCTGTCCAACACCACGGTGACGTGTGACACCGGAGTCTACCAGTCTCTGCAGGCCTGGAAGGACCACAAGCTGCACATCGACCACGAGGTACCTGCCGAGTCCGAGCACCGGTTCTGAGACACGTTCAGAACCAGTAAACGGACCGAAGGACAGAATCCATCCGCTTCAGGTCTGGTTTTATTTTCTTCCGTCAGATCGAGACGCTGCAGACGAGGATCAACAACCTGAGAGAGGTCAGAGGTCACCTGAAGAAGTCCCGCCCCCTGCAGTGTGACTGCAACAAGTATCTGTGAGTCACAACACCTGAGGGCTGACAGCACGCCTGATGTCGTGTGACACGCCGTGTGTGTGTGTGTGTGTGTTCAGGTACAAAGACAAGATGAAGAAGAAGCTCAGGTACCGAGGAGGAGGAGGAGTCCTTCATCCCTTCAGGTGAGACAGAAACGTCTGGCGTCCCCTTTAAAATCTCCTTTACTTTAAATGAAAGGCGGGGCTTGACACAAGGAGGCGGGGCTTCCTCGCTGAACAGCTCACCTGCATGTGTTTGAGCAGGAAGGGTGGGTCTCGGGACGAGAAGGCGTGGCTTCAGAAGGAGCAGAGGAGGAGGAAGAAGATGAGGAAGATAATAAAGAGGATCAAAAACAACGACACCTGTTCGATGCCGGGACTCACCTGCTTCACGCACGACAACCAGCACTGGCACACGGCACCCTTCTGGACACGTACGAGACAAACAAACACACCTGCATCTCCATGACGACCGTCTTCATGACATCACCGTTTTAAAATTCCACGTGCAGAACCACTTATGACCACTAGGTGGAGGGTCAGAACCAGCCTCAGACCGGATGAGGGATTTTCATCCGAGTTAATCCAGAAGGGTCGAGTAATCCTGTAGGGTCTGGTTAATTCTTCAAGGCTGGAGCTAACCCTTCAGGGCCAGGATTAATCCTATAGGGTCAGGGTTCATCCTTTAGGGCTGGATGAGTCCTGTAGGATTAGAGTTAATCCTGAAGGATTAGGGTCCATTCTGTAGGATTAGGTTTATTCGTTTAGTGTTGGGTTAAGGGTCGTGGTCCGGGTGAATGATGTGAATGTTTGTGTGTTCCAGTGGGATCGTTCTGCGCCTGCACCAGTGCCAACAACAACACATACTGGTGCCTGAGGACCATCAACGAGACCCACAACTTCCTGTTCTGTGAGTTCGCCACCGGCTTCCTGGAGTACTTCGACCTCAGCACCGACCCGTACCAGGTACACAGAACCAGTTCCTGGGAGTGAACACGAACTACCTGAAACTGAGCCGTGACCTTTTAATCTGTGTCTGCAGCTGATAAACGCCGTGAGCTCTTTGGACCGGACGGTTCTGAACCAGCTGCACGTCCAGCTGATGGAGCTCAGAGGCTGCAGGGGACACAAGCAGTGCAACCCTCGCACGCACACCGTGGACCTGGGTATGGCTCACATCGCTCACATCTCAGACCGGAGCTTGTCCTGCAGAGATGGTTCTGTTTTTACAAACTTGTTCTGTTCCAATAGAGCAGAGCATCGTCTGCATAAAGACACGCTCGTGCACGAACACTCGGTAAAGGAAGTACCGGTGGTTCAGTTAGCTAACTCTGCTGACCTCAGGTCTGCATGACGATTAGATTTGTTTTAGAACGTCATCGTTTCTGTGTTTGACGATATGAAATCTTTTTGTTGCTGTAAAAACTGTTTCTGCTGCTGTTCCGTGATTCTGATACATTTACATAACAGAGATACACGCATGTCTCTCGGTACATACGTGAAGTTTCTCTCTTAAAGAAACGGGTCCAGATGACACGATGTAGCCTTTGTTGTCGTTACCTACCTGGATGACGGAGCTTACAACCATCTGAAGCACTGAGAGTAGCAAGTGGCCGTCTGGCCTAAAGCATTTGATTGTTCATGATGATGATGGTTTTGGACGGATGTTCCTTTGGCACGTGTTAAAACCTTCAGAGACTCCAGCAGGAGGTTGTCTTGAAACACAGGCTACTTGTGGCTAGGCCTGTCGTGGTAAACAATAAATCAAGTCATCGCACGATAAATGACAGTCTGAGTTGAGTTTAACTGAATGTAGTATAATAAAATAATAAACAAAGTTATAGACAAAGAAAATAAATTTAAAACACAAGCAAGCAGAAACAACAACAGTACGTTCAAAGCAGTGGGTAGAAGTATGAACTTACTGTTACCCCCCCCCCCCCCACATCTATAGCATCACCCAATAATTTACTATTCATGGTAACTTGGTTATAACTTTCTGTTTTAGTATCTTAGATATCCATATCTATAACTGGTACACTGCATTCATATTTGCATGCCATTATGATCAAGCATCAATAATTTGTTTAACGTGTTAAAATTATTTTAGATCAATATACCAGAATGCAGTAATAATTGATAAATTCATTATTTGTTAACAACATTGATAATAGCAGTAATAACAGACATTATTTCCATATTGATATTCAGTGATGACCATCTTCTTAAATGACGTTTTAAACTGTTTAATGTTTGGACATTGCTTGATTTTCATGATTAAACCATTCCACAGCTTCACCCCACGTACGGATACAAAATATTTTTATTGTGGTTAAATTATCAAACTCATTTTCATTCATCAGCTTCATCGTTTCTTCGTGTCTCTCTCTTTCTACTGAAGACACTGGAAGACAAAAGACTCAACTCAGGTGTTCTTCACTGACCCCTCCCTTTCTCTGCTCTCTTTAAAATCTGGTTTAACGTCCAAAATCGTGTTTTTGGATTTTAAAAGCAGCTAAGCTGAGAAGCTAAGCTACGAGCTAAGCTACGAGCTAAGCTAACAGGCCGACCTCGGGAAAAAACCTCCGTCCTGTCGAAGCTCCAATATTAACGGTTGAAACCCGTGCCTTCGTGTAAAAAGTTGTTTTTCTCTGCAAAAATAATCTGAGAACTTGTTTACTGATTATTTGTTAAAAGCTTTGTGTGAAAAATGCTAAAGAGCTCAAACCACACTGAGCGTCCGCCATTTTGAGAACTGAAGAGAGACAGCCCATGTCACGTCAAGGGGCCTCCCTCACATTGTTCTTAGAGACACGCTGCTCGCTCGCTCACTATCCATCCTTCAGTTCAAACGGGTAGCATGGTGGCACAGCTGCTGGTAGAGCTGCTGCCTCTCAGCAAGAAAGTTGCCGGTTCAAATCCCCGTCCGGGGGCCTTTCTGGGTGGAGTTTGCATGTTCTCTCCGTGCATGCGCGAGTTTCCTCCCACAGACCAAAAACATGCATGTTAGGCTGATTGGTAACTCTAAATTATCTCTAGGTGTGAGAGAGAGAGTGAAAGGTTGTTTGTCTCATTTGTCTCTATGTGTCCCTGTGATGGACTGGAGACCTGTCCAGGGTGTCCCCCGCCCCTCGCACAGTCATGGCTGGACTTGGGCACCGGCGACTCCGGTGACCCAAAATGGAAGAAGCGGGTAAAGACAATAGATGATGGAAGGATGGTTCAATCAGTCTTATACTGCTTTGCAGTGGTCAAAAAAGGTACTACACAAAAAGAAATTCAACGTTTCTTCTTAAATTTGACAATAATTAGTAATTATTGTCAAATTTCAAACAATATTATCATTTATCGCAATGATTTCTGAGACAATTAATCGCCCAGGAAAACTTGTTATTGTGACAGACCTACCTATGCGACAGATCTGGTTGGCAGGTCATAGACTGAGGAAGTCCTCTGGATATGGGACGAAACATTTCTCACTTCAAGAAACTGGTCCAGATGACACGATTTAACCTTTGTTGTTGATTCTTATACGGTTTCTTCGTGGTGCGTTCAGGTGACCTTCGTTAACTGTAGTTCTGTTGTTCTCAGCCTTGTCTGTTCTGGAGTTGTTACCTGTTCTCATTAACCAATCAGATTGTGTCTTCTGTCAGGAGGGCGGGCCGATGGCAGCTTTGACGACTACAGGTACACATACACACACCTGAACACGCACACACCTGAGCACACACACCTGAACTTTCACGGTGACTCTGAACGCTGCATGATAACCGGACGGAGCTGCTGGCTGCAGGCGGTGTGTTTGTGTGTAACTCTGTGTGTAACTCTGTGTGTAACTCTGTGTGTAACTCTGTGTGTAACTCTGTGTGTAACTCTGTGTGTGTGTTTGTTGCGTCAGGCTGTTTGAGAGGAGGAAGTGGCCGCGAGTCAAGAAACCTTCGTCGTCTCGAACCCTGTGAGTCTTCCTCCATGTTTCCTGCACGCTGCTTCCTGCGTAAATGTTTCAGACTCCTGCGACAAGTTTAGGCTTCGTTCTGCACTGAATCCTCCAGATGTTCTGCATCCAGATGTTCATGACCCAGACACACCGCAGATGAAAGCCTGTTTGTGCGCTCAGTGTTGGAATGAAACCCAAAGCTGAAACGTTTCTTCATTTTTAACCAACTTTAACCTCAAACTCTGCTTCTGCTGCAGCTCAGGAGAAAAACTTTAACATTTTATCGTCTACAGTTTTGAACTCAAGAGACACAGTTTAACAATCATGTCTGTTCACATTTTGTCTCTGTCTCTCTGTGTCTCTGTGTGTCTCTGTGTGTCTCTGTCTCTGTGTGTCTCTGTGTGTCTCTGAGTGTCTCTGAGTGTCTCTGTGTCTCTGAGTGTCTCTGTGTCTCTGTCTCTCTGAGCGTCTCTGTGTGTCTCTGAGTGTCTCTGAGTGTCTCTGTGTCTCTGTCTCTCTGAGCGTCTCTGTGTGTCTCTGTGTGTCTCTGTGTCTCTGAGTGTCTCTGTGTCTCTAAAACTCAAAGTGAGACACAGACTCTGAATGTTCTGATCAACTCTAAATCTTCTGGTTCTGTTTGTGTCCAGAGGTCCAATCTGGGACGGCTGGAAGGGCTAAGTCACCTGATTGGCTGAATCTGGCTCCAGACTCCGCCCACAGCCACCTGACTGAATCTCAGAGCTGATGACCACGTCCTCACCTTCCTTTCAGCCAATCAGGAGCTTCAGGAATATCTGCGACATCAAACACATCTGCTTGAGTAGACTCTTCATCAGCTGCTCTTCCTCCTCTTCCTCCTGCTCCTGCTCTGTGCAGGGAGGCCTGAGGGGGAGGGGCCATGAGGAGGAGGGGTCAGATAGAGAGGAGGAGCTAAAGGAAGAGTAAAACTCTGGCTATAATAATGTTTCAGTATTTATTATCGTTTCCTCTGATGTAAAATTAATAAATTTAGTATTTTTTCTGTCTGATAGATGTTTATCCTTGAATGACGTTTTACATCATAATATACAACCTGATAAAAACACCTGAACTGATTATCACAAGAACAAAAGTAACATCACTTTACTCTGAAATATTTCAAGTTCAAACTAAAGTAAAATGTTTGTTATGACAGAAAATGTCTCATTTATAACGTGTAAATATTCTGTCTTCTGTAAAAACAAACTAAAACAATGACCTATATTTATTAATATTTGCTTTATTGTTTTACCACATCTTTAATGTTTTTGTCACAACCTTATTCTGATCATTTATCTTTAATTTAACATCTTTTAACAAACAGACACAAATCTTCCTCCTCCTCCTCCTCAGTGTTGTGTTTATATTTAATTTGTCCCACCGTCCCTGAAGACGTTAAACAACTCGTTTCTGCCGTCACGGCGCTGTGACATCACTGCTGACGTCACATCCGACCTGCTTTGTTTCTTTTTGGTTACCATGGCGACCAACAGCTTCCATGACCGCAGAGCCTGCAGTCAAACTGACTGCACTTCCCACAATGCAACACGGAGCTCTAAAGTGAACTTGTTATGGACCAATCAGAAATGGACTCAGCGATGATGTCATCAGGACTGCTCCCGTTTTTGGTGTTGAACACTCACCTTCATCACGCTCATCTTCATCCCTGGTTCTGTTCCTTCCACAGATCCGATCAAAGGTTCTGTCCTTTAAACTGAGCTGATCTGTGACTGATGGAACCGGTTCCATGTGTTCAGACCGCAGAGGTCCTCCTTCCTGTGTGAATCCAGTTTTTTCCAGACCCAGTTTTTGCTCTGCGGTTCTGTCTGCTCCTGATTGAGTCTGAATGTATTTATAAATGTTTAAAGGATTTCTTTTAACGGAACCGGTGCAGTCCAGTTGGAATGGACTCAGAAAGACAGAGTTCTCTGCTGGACGAATGGACGGTTCGTTCTGGTCCAACCGGTCACCTGACCCGTGGGAACTACGACCCGGCTCGGTGTGTGAATAAAGTCTTGATGCCAAAACCGGCCGAGTCTGTACATCCTGAAATATTTAATAACATGAGAAACGCAAACCAGAACCACGTCAACATCTTGTTTACACGTAGAGATGCCAGAAAATGTCAATAGCTCTAGGAACCACAAATAAGCCTTCAGGCAACACGCGGTCAAAGATCCTTAAACAAACTTGGTCCGATTGGTCCTGTGTCCTCATTGGGTTCTGTTGGTCAGATTGAGATCTGAAAACTGTTTAAGCAGCTAAAAGTTCAGCTTGTTAAAGTAAGAATGAGCAAAACTGTAGCTAATATTAGCACGACCATAGGTAAAAGCTAGAAGGAACACGAGAAGACCGAAGCAGAACCACTTTCATGAAATACATTTCAAAGGTTTTTAAAGAAAAATAACCAGATTTCAACGTATTTCTATAGGGACAATTTAATCACATGTCAAAGTGATAGGGCACTATTTATGACTGACATGAACAGTTTTATGTATTGTATAATTTGGACGAGCAGAAGTAAACAACTTTAAACAGAATAAAAACTTTAGTGTGAAAACAGTTTAAATTATTGAGTGTCTTATTATTGTATTATTTTATTATTGACCACTGATGTATTTTCACGTTAAAGTCCACACCTGATAATGATAAAGGTATTTTTTGTTGAATGTAAGAAATAAAGAACCTGCAGTTCGTTTGTCGGCCACTAGATGGCAGGAGCAGGCACAGCGCATGCGCACTGCGCAGCCGCTTCTTCCACGGATCAAGCTGAAGCTGAAACTTCTTCGTTTTCAGGTCTGTTTGTTCTTCTACTCATCAACCATCGCGTTATATGACAGAAATATAAGTTTATTATTATTATTATCCTAAATCATAACATAATTGTATGTACAATGAAGCTATTTTGTGTTGTACGGTAGTTTTTGCATTCGCTAGCTTAGTGATTAGCTGTTATGCTAGCTTTGCTCCCGTTTGTTTGTTTGTTTATTTGGGTCCATAGATGTTTAAATTGTTACATTTCAGGTTTGATTTGATTCCTCTAATCTTAGAGTTTAATTTAAGCACATCAAGCAGATCTTTTGATTTGTGGGTTAGGTTAAAACTGCTAAAGATTTGGTGTTTTGACCTCAGACCAGCTCTAGTTTAAAATACTTTTTAAAAATTTTCTTTACAGGTTTTAAACATTTTGAATACCTCTTTATTAAAGTGCATTGTGTGACCTGTATAAACCTTTATGTAGTTGGTGAGAAGTTTCTGTGCTTTTTTTGTGTATGCTTTGCATCTGGACCGTTTAGATCTGGTCCAGATTAAAAACTGAATTAAAAAACTGGACCAGATAAATAGACTTTCTTTAAAACAGGTTTTGGGATTTGTAAATTATTTAACAAATCTGTGACCATAAAAAAACAGAATGATGATGCATTTAGTATTTTTTCCACATTTGAGCAGTTTAAAACTACAATAAGAAGTTTTTATGTTATTAAAGCAGTTTTTGATTTAAAGTTCAACTCTTGTTGCTCTGAAGAGCTGGCCCACGTGTTTTTACCTAAAGTGATGAAACCAGTAATAAAACAACTTACTAACTAAATAATATTAATGAAGGGATGCCATGTTGGTTTAAATAACTTAAAGTCTGATAAAGACAATAGGCATCTGACAGAAATAATAAAGTTTAGTTAAAATACTGTGGGACACGTTCAGGGTCTGAAGGTCTGAACCTCCTTTAAAAATGTCCATGTTTTAAGTGTTTTAGTAATTTTATGTAAAAATATTCTAAAGTACATCAGACTTTCAGATTTATATTTGTGAAGGAAAATTGATTACTGTCAATGTGGAAAGTTCAGGGTCTGAAGAGGTCTCCCAGTTGGTTCTGAAGAACCCGTCAGCTGGACTATAATAACCCGTCGGCCGGTCTATAATAACCCGTTGGCCGGACTATAAGAACCTGTCGGCCGGTCTATAAGAACCCGTCGGCCGGACTATAAGAACCCGTCGGCCGGACTATAAGAACCCGTCGGCCGGACTATAAGAACCCGTCGGCCGGACTATAAGAACCCGTCGGCCGGTCTATAATAACCCGTCGGCCGGACTATAAGAACCCGTCGGCCGGACTATAAGAACCCGTCGGCCGGTCTATAAGAACCCGTCGGCCGGTCTATAAGAACCCGTCGGCCGGTCTATAAGAACCCGTCGGCCGGTCTATAAGAACCCGTCGGCCGGTCTATAAGAACCCGTCGGCCGGTCTATAAGAACCCGTCGGCCGATCTATAAGAACCCGTCGGCCGATCTATAAGAACCGGTAGGCCGGTCTAAAAGAACCCGTCGGCCGGTCTATAAGAACCCGTCGGCCGGTCTATAAGAACCCGTCGGCCGGTCTATAAGAACCCGTCGGCTGGTCTATAAGAACCCGTCAGCTGGTCTATAAGAACCCGTCGGCCGGTCTTGAAGATGTTGGTACAGTTTTTGTTTTAAACTGTTCTTTTGGGGCTACAGTTAGTTTTCAGTTATATAAAAATCTGACCCCTGATTCTAAATTGATTTGAAATTGATTCAGATTTTATTTAGATGAGTTCTATAAATGAAAATTGGTTATCTAAAAAAGTTAAATCTGGTCCTCTGGACATTCAAAAAACAAAACAAAGCAAAACAAAAAAAATGTAGAAACGTTTCGTCTCTCATCCTGAGGACTTCCTCAGTCTGAGGTGCTGTATTCAGCTCAATCTCTTAAATAGCACCTTCTCAGAGTGGATCAACCAGTTTGCTGCTG